GCGTTTTTGCCCAAGGCACAAAAAAAAAAGCATTTACATTTTAATGTAATTTTTTTTACATTTAATTTCTTTTTATTTATATTTATGTATTTGTCAGACACTTTTAGCTGAAGTGAGTTACAGTGCCCTTATTACAGGGACCTCAATCCCATCTGGAGTAAAGAGCCTTGCTGAAGGACACAGCGGTGGTGACGGCTGCGGAGATCGAACCAGCAACCTTCTGCTCACCAGCTCACTACACCACAGAAGTAATGAAGCTATATCAAAAATTTGCATGTCACTGTAAACATATGAAATGAAATTTAGCAAGAAATTTATCATGAAGCTTCTGAAAGTCAGGCTCTATTGACTGATGTTGTATGAACACAAACCAGCAGGACAAACATGACCAAAATCACCTTTTGTGTTTGGAAAAACACACACTCACACTCTCTCTCACACACACACACACACACACACTCTCACTCTCACTCACACACATACACACACCACCAGCTCACTACACCACAGAAGTAATGAAGCTATATCAAAAATTTGCATGTCACTGTAAACATATGAAATGAAATTTAGCAAGAAATGGAATGCTGACAGCATGAGATGCAAGATGTTTTACAGATAGTTGTGTTCATGGAGAGCAGCACACAGACGTTTGGAGCAGACACAGCGAGAGACAGATCATGTTCAGGGTTGTGTGGTTCAGGAGCGTCATCATGGTCTTCCTCATCCTCTCTGTGTACTCAAGACAACGACAGCCTCGATGTCCCTTCCTCCTCCATGATCAGATTCAGTCTGACTGCAGCAGTGAGGGTCGTGATGGACGGCAGAGACAGCTGAAGGTGGACACGGTGGTCTTCATCAGAATAAAGCTGTGTTGAGATGCAGTAGATGTGGGCTCACCGTCTGTAAATACATGATTGTTAGAACAATATGTTTGAATAAAGCTTTGTTTCATGTGTTGACTTGTATTTATTTGTTGTCATGGTTACTTTTATTCATTCTTTTACTCATTTGTTCATGTTTCCTGTTGTCAGTAAATAAAATGTAATTGTTTCATTAACATATGCATTAATTCATAACTTGACTGAAATTGAGATGTAATCACCTTGGCTGCGTTTGTCTTGTGTGAAGTCATGCATAGCTATGGCATATGACAAAAATTACAATTTGTTTGTTTTACTAAAAAAATATAATGAATTATTGGTCAGCATTTATCATTATTATTGTTCATAAGTGTTGGGCTAGCAATGCATTCTGGGGTAATCTTAACTTTTAAGTAATAATACTTACATTTTTCGAGTGTAAAATTAATAGTCTTCTCCAAAGGCGAGATCTTCCAGCAGCTGATCGACGTCTCCTTTCTGCAGATATTACAAACGCTGAGGAAAACTGTACTATGTAGTGTTGTGGAGTTACTGATGCTGTGAGGTGTTAGTGCACCTGGCCCTCTTATCTTCTTTTATTATTACTGCAGAACTTATTACATACAAGCTCAGGGAAAGATGGTAGTATCTTTAACAATGAACAATCATAATGACAAACAGCAGAAAACAACTATAATGGGTTTGCGTACATCATAGAATGAGATTATATACACAGGAAAAAAATAATAAATATCTTTGAATAATCATAAAATTCATATAATCATAATACACTAAAAATTGCATTTGTTGTTTTTGTTATTTATAAGATTTAGGGATTAAACGTGAGAGACATTCAACAAGAAAAAGAGGAACACAAAGGAGATTCTAGCCAGTTTTGACAATTTTGCACATAAAATTAAGAGATTAATAACATATTCAGAAGATAACGATTTTGGTTTTTCGTAATAAAAAAAATTATATCTTTAAGGATTAAACTGTGGGTTATATTAGTAGAGATAAAAATATAAAAAACTTAACCCAAAATGTATTGGTTATATTACAATCACAAGAGCAGCTGTTTCTTCTACAAGACCAAAAATGAGCAAATTTCATCAACATCAAAAATATTTACAGATAGATGAATTAAACCTGTTCAGTTGTTGCTCTTGTTATAACGGCATAAATCACATGATAACGTCAACATGGCGGATCGCATTCATACTTAACGAGATTTGGCTGTAGAGTACCTACTCTTTTAGCGCTCGTTAAGTACTTATTGAAATTAAGTACCTACTCTTCGAGTACGCCATTTCAGATGCAGCCAGTGACTCGCTTATTAAGACAGTGGCTTGCCGCCACCTACTGGCAATTTGTTTCATATTTAAAAGTATCTTTTTTTATCATTTCGTATTTCTGTACAAAGGCGAGATCTTCTAGCAGCTGATCGACGTCTCCTTTCTGCAGATATTACAAACATTGCAAACGCTGAGGAAAACTGTACTATGTAGTGTTGTGGAGTTACTGATGCTGTGAGGTGTTAGTGCACCTGGCCCTCTTATCTTCTTTTATTATTACTGCAGAACTTATTACATACAAGCTCAGGGAAAGATGGTAGTATCTTTAACAATGAACAATCATAATGACAAACAGCAGAAAACAACTATAATGGGTTTGCGTACATCATAGAATGAGATTATATACACAGGAAAAAAATAATAAATATCTTTGAATAATCATAAAATTCATATAATCATAATACACTAAAAATTGCATTTGTTGTTTTTGTTATTTATAAGATTTAGGGATTAAACGTGAGAGACATTCAACAAGAAAAAGAGGAACACAAAGGAGATTCTAGCCAGTTTTGACAATTTTGCACATAAAATTAAGAGATTAATAACATATTCAGAAGATAACGATTTTGGTTTTTCGTAATAAAAAAAATTATATCTTTAAGGATTAAACTGTGGGTTATATTAGTAGAGATAAAAATATAAAAAACTTAACCCAAAATGTATTGGTTATATTACAATCACAAGAGCAGCTGTTTCTTCTACAAGACCAAAAATGAGCAAATTTCATCAACATCAAAAATATTTACAGATAGATGAATTAAACCTGTTCAGTTGTTGCTCTTGTTATAACGGCATAAATCACATGATAACGTCAACATGGCGGATCGCATTCATACTTAACGAGATTTGGCTGTAGAGTACCTACTCTTTTAGCGCTCTTTAAGTACTTATTGAAATTAAGTACCTACTCTTCGAGTACGCCATTTCAGATGCAGCCAGTGACTCGCTTATTAAGACAGTGGCTTGCCGCCACCTACTGGCAATTTGTTTCATATTTAAAAGTATCTTTTTTTATCATTTCGTATTTCTGTATTCCAAATTTTATATTTAAAACATTAATCTCATAACATTATTTACACAATTTGTAAGTGCAGTGTAAATGCATGTACAAGTGCTTCTTAAAAATAAGTGTATAGAGCCCTGCATGTTTAATTTAATTATACTTGGCTTTTTTTTGTTTTTTTTTAACACAAAGCCACTTAGCCAATTTAACTTTTAAAAATATTCAATTAAGGGTTAGTTCACCCAAAAATAAAAATTAGCCCATGGTTTACTCACCCTGGAGCCATCTAGCTGTATCTGCCTTTCTTCTTCCGCTACGCCTGCATCATCCGCTGGAACGCCTCTCGCTCGTGAAGCGCGCACAACAGTTAGCAGAAGCTAGAGATTACGGTTTATAAAGTTTTAAATAGGGATTTTTTCTTACACAAACGCATCGATTCACTTCAGAAGGCCTTTATTAAGGTTATCCCATATATTCTGACACACATGGATGTCTCTGGGCTCAGCCCCGGGTATCCACTCGCTCCAGACCAGCCCCTGATGTATTGCTCATTAATAATGTCATTAAACTAATTGGACCTGATTGTAAAGTGTTACCAATGCAGACCTGCCAACCTTGGACATTTTTTTGGAGTAACCCTAACCTTTTCTGTCAGAGCATCTGACGGGGCGAGCGTGAGCCGCTTTGAACTGAAACTATAGGCTACTAGGACAGAAATAAAACGCAGAAATTGTTTAAATGCAAAAACAAAAAAAAAAGCACTCCGATTGGTTGACCTCTTCATCTTTTTCTGTTCCTTGTTTTGAATACTGCGCGTGGACAGAGGCGTCACTAGATTTTTGACAGATCGTACCAGCGTACTTTGAGGTCAAAATGCGTAGCCGCTACGCAAAATGCGTACAGGTTGGCGTAATGTGTAATGTGTCAGCATTTCATTAAAATCCTGCAGGAATGTCCATAAATCAAGTCAAAGCACAAAGTTTTATCTATTTACAGCATTTATTTCAGGGATTTAACAGGTTTAAAAGCAAAACAAACGAGACTTGCTCCCTCCATCACAACACCATCAGCCGGAAAGGTTCAAACGCGTGGGATCATGTGCAGTCTGTGTTTGGTGTGCTGTTCATTCACACAAACGTGATGCGTGACCGCGCCTGGTTGATCTGCCACACGTTCAGCTCCTCGTACTCATCCAGAGCGGCCTGGAACTGCGCAGGAGTGAACCCACGAGACACGCAGCGCTGCTCGGCCTCGACCACACGAACAGACCTCACCGCTCCTTCACCGGCCAGCTCCCGCAGCAGAGAGAAGATCACATCAGCGGGACGCTGTGCCCTGCAGACAGACAGAGAGTGAGCCGCGGGCACGCTGAAGTCAGAGGTGTGTGTGTGTGTGTGTTTGTTTGTGTACCTGGTGTTGTTGGTCTTGTCGGCCTGCAGCGAGTCTTTGCTCATCTCCATCAGTCGCATGGCCTCATTAACATCCTCCTTCTCTACAACATCCACCATCCGCAGACGAGCCTGAACACACACACACACCTGAAGTCACATCCTCAGCTATCAAGTGTGTGAATGTCACCACATTCCGCAAATACAAACGATTTTTCCAAAGACAAGTGTACTTCAGGCAAATGGATGAGTTGTGCCGGCACTGTCAGACCGAGACAAGTGCAATGCCTTATGGGAAAGCCAGCAACTGCCCAAGTCTCCGCCTCTCAACACCAGCTAGTCTCTGCGACATGCGTCGGAGCGCTGCAGCGTGTCGCGTGCGGTCAGTTTTGCATGGGTTTGCACAGCGGCATGACCCGAGGCTGACTGCCCACCCCGCAAAGCTGACCGTCACGCGACAAACACGGATCTCTGCGAGTCAGCTGACGGACCGAACCTGCGCCAGCGGCGGCGTGTGTCGTGAAGTGCTGCTTCTACAGTAGAGATGAAAACAGCTACCTGCACAAACAGCACTTTTAACACCCGTCGCCCACATCAGAGCAGCTCCAGAGATCAAGTCCTGCTGATGATAACAGTAATGTTCTGCTGCGGGGGTGTGTGTGTGTGTGAGTGTGTGAGAGAGTGTGTGAGAGAGTGTGCGAGAGAGTGTGCGAGAGAGTGTGCGAGAGAGTGTGTGTGTGTGAGTGAGTGTGTGAGAGAGTGTGT